TCACAGATTTTAACGCCAAGTAATTGTATATTAAAAAAAATCATAGCCACAAAAAATTGTAGAATAAAAACTTTTTTTAATAAAAAATTTAAACCGCTGAAAAGTAAAAAAAAAAAACAATAGACCCTTTTACTCTTTTGTCAAATTATTGTTTGGTGTCTGGGTCATGCAAGTCTGATCTGATAGATCTGAGTTCCCATTAGACTAAAGATAGAAAAAAAAAAACTTTTCGGTGGTTGAATTTTTTGTTAAAAGGATTTATTTAAAGTGAATATTTTAATACATCGCCACAATTCTTTTCGTTTTTATTTAGCATGTCGCATTACATGTTTTATTGTAAATAAAAAAAAACAACTTAGCAAGCACCGATAGTTTAGTGGTAGACAGATCGCCTGTCACGCGGGCAACCCGGGTACGATTCTCAGCCGAGAGAAAATATTTTCCAGTTTTATAAGCCAGAATAATATCAAGTAACTGAGTATACCTTAGAGTAAGATTTTAATCTTTACTTGCATCGCGATTTCCTAAAACCAAGCCAATTTTTATGGTTTTTAGTACCTATAAAGTGTATGGTTTAAGTATTTTAGACAAAATGGATTCATTCAATCAAGAAAATTTTGTGTTACTTTAACTAGCTAGCATTCAAATGAATTGGTGTGTCTGAGTGCCGCCAAAGGGCTTTATTTTCAATTGTTGAATGAAACTCATCAGTCAGGTAAAATAGAAACTGATCCTCAGACTTGTTAAAAATAAAATGCCAACAGCAATACTGAAAATCAGCCAAGTGCGAGGCGTAACCACAAACACTGGGTTATCATAGTAAAATATTTTTTTAAACTAATTCCAGCAAATCAAGTCGAAAAAATCGTGTTTCATGTGATTTCACACATATTCTGTGAAAAATCTGGGGTTTTCTTATTTTCGTACATACAATGATGGCATATTAATAGGGATCTATCTATCACCCCTTAGGGAAGATACCCTGAAAATTACATGCAAAACACCTTAATTGTCTGTTTTTAATAAAAAAATCAGAAAAGTTTTATCTACTGACAAGGGTCAAATTAATAAATTCGAAATTATAAAAAATAATTAAATAAATTACCTAATAAGTTCAAGCATAGAAAATAAAGTTTTTAAAAATCTTCCAGTGAAATATCCGAACGCTCAATAAAAGTATTTCGAAGGTAGCTCGTCAAAGTAAATAAAAATCATTATTCTGACGACGCATTCCTGCAAAGGATGTGAAACGTCATTAAATAAATAAATTCAGTGCATAACAACCCGTCAAAAACTTGTTTTATTTAATGAGTGATGTGCGTGAAAATCTAAGATACAAATACTGACAAATCCTACCTAATATTATAAATGTGAATGTTTGTACTTTTGTTACCCAATCTCGCAAAAACCACTGCACGGATTTCAATGAAATTGGTACGCCTATAGTTTGTGACCTGGAGGCCTACTCTATTTCAACGAAAACGAAATTTCAATCGAAATTTTGCACGTCCCTTACTCTGTTACTTTTTCATTTTGAAAATTCGTTCGTCCGACAGTAGTATGACAATTAAATTCTCCAACCCTAGTCTAATTCACAAAAATTTAGACCAAAAGTTGAATTTGACAGATCATTGTTCGAAATTCTAACCTCGCAAATTGACGCAATGAAACATGTTACCTTTTCATTTTCGTTTTGGGATTTTTGTTTAAATTAAGCCTTAAATACTGCTAGACTATTTTTAATCAACGCTGCTTAGCGCGAGGAACATTTTTTAGCATGTAAAATTAACAAGGCAACCAAATTTTTATTAAATTATTATATTTCCAATACTTCAAAGTATTACGCGACTGGGTTGACATACATTCGATTGCATCAACTACACAAATTAGTCGGCTGACACTGTCAAAGAAGCTTCTTTTAATGTCATCAAAAGTTTTGTCGTAAAGTAATATTGTTTCCAAATAAAAAAAACGCAATCTAAAAGTGGAGATAAAAAGAACTCACAAACATGGCTCATTTCATTTATTCACGAAAATTGTTTGTGATTCCGAACTTTACGACTATGTGCATGTTCGAAAATTGAAATAGAGTAGAGTCATGGCCGAAATTTCGTTGAAGATAAGTTCGTTGCTGAAATTTCGTTTCGGAGAAAGATCAATCAAGCAATCAATTATTTATTTACAAATACAGGTGATACAAAGGTGTTAAATTATAATACGTACGTACGCTTATTCCATATTTCACCACAAAGCATGCAAATTAAAATAAACACATAGGTAAATCCATTTACACAGATTTGTCCTCGAAAAATTCCTTAATACTATAATATGCTTTTTAAAGTGACATATTCTTTAATTTAGAGCGAAATATATTGGGGCTTTCAGCTTTTCTAATTTCAATTGGAATTTTATTATATACCTGAGGTGCCATACAAAGTACACTATTATTCATAAGCCATGTCTTGTTAGATGGTAAACAAAGTCTGGTTTCGAATTTTCTACGAAAGATGAAGATATTAGAGCTCCTGGATTGAGACATAGGATACTTTAAATCCCGGAAAAATGTGAAGTTCCTGTAGGATTACCAAAACCCCAAAGTATGAGCGAAGTCGCGGGCTGTAGCTTGCTATACATAAAACACTTTTTTAATTAAACTGTAAACGTGGAATTCGTCCTATAGACTTTAATGTTTAATTCTACATAACAAAATATTTTATGTTTATTCACAAAGCGCATTACAGCAATGTCGAGAAGCATGGAGACGGCGGAAAGGGAAGCAATATATATTTCTAATTTTGTGTTCGTAGAGTTCCCAACAATATTACGTTGTAAGCTCGAAAGCAAACATAATTTTACGTAAAGCTATAGTGTACAAACACCGTAGTTTAAATAGACTTCACCAGTGTTGAGCGCTCTTTGTTCAAATCTAGATTTTCTTTTCTTCATGCTGCCTTTTAAGGTGGCGTTTTGAAAAGGGGTACAAAAGGTTTCCGTCGTATATTAATTTACTCATAATGATATAATTTATTAGATTGATGGCGCAAGTGGTGATTGACTATCTCGAGTTTCTCTGTGCATCGGTAGTCGTTATCACCCACGAATCAGCACCTGGGGGCCATTCATTCATTCATTTAATATTGTTATTACCAATGCAAAAGAAAAAAAAGAGCGCGAGGCATTTGAAAACCCCAGGCGGCTAGAAATAACAAAATGAAATCGTAAACGTTAGCGTTTTCCAAAGCATTTCCGTTAGGCGAATGGCCCCCTGGCCTGCTTGTTGGGTCATGGCACATGACCGCTATTCCATCCATAAGGAACGCTTGGGCCCTAGCAGTGGGGACATTAATAGGCTGATGATCATGAATGATAAAATTATTTAAGGCAAGTTTACTAATAACGATCATATAAAATAAGATTATATGAAGGGTAATAAATCCGTTAGTATTCTAACAAAGTGCAGTTATGAACACGTACAATTGCGTTATAAAGCTAGTGCCTTTATGCCTTGAGCGTAGATCATTAATACTCTCATAATTATAAATTTATTTAAAGGAAAGGAAGAAATTTAAATGTATTTTAAAAGAACAGCGCCTGGCAGGGTTAGCCAGTATTCTGTCAAAGGTTAATTATAAATTCTCAGTTAGTATTCTAATAAAGTACAAATATGAATACTCACCACTGCGTTATAAAGCTGGTGCCTATAGTACAGGTCGTTAAAATACTCATAACGATAAAGTAATTCAGAGGATAACGGCAGCACCTGGCTGGGTTGGCTAGTATTCTATCAAAGATTATATAAAGGTGTCAGTTAGTATTTTAACAAAGTGCAGTTAAAAATTCAAAATTCAAAATTCAATATCGTTTATTCATTCTAGGCTGTTACAAGCACTTGTGAATGTCGAAAAGCTACGCCATCGATTCGCAAATCTACGGCGGGAGACCTTGTACTGAGAAGAACCGGCAAGAAACTCAGCAAGGGCTGTTTTTTTCTCCCTGTATTATATACAGAGTCGTCAATTTGAAAAATGACTTCAATATGAGATACCTCATGAAGTCACTTTCCATTACAAATGTAAATGATAAAGCAATTATGACTATATAATAAAAAATATAAAAAACAGATTTAAAAATAAAAAAAAATGGTTGCCTGTAAAGTCGGTTTTACGGGCGAAGATTTTACGTGACAACGTCTTTTTCTCGGCAGAATATTTATTGATATGAATATAATTAAATTGCACAATAGGAACAAGGAATTGAATGAAAATAAGAATTGCACAAATTTTAACTATAGAAATATATTTTGTTTACTAAAACATTGTACATGTAAACTTAAACTTAACACGAGAGACTCATCGTAACGTTACCGAGCGTTACACTTTTTCATAAGTGACTCCCAGCCGCAACCTAATTTAAGACGTTGTCACGTCAAAAGTTTAGGAATGCCGTGTCCTACTGTTTAGGCATAAAAACAAATGTACATGTGTATGAATACGTACTGCTGCGCTATAAAGCTGGTGCCTATAGTACAGGTTGTTAAAATACTCATAACGATAAAGTAATTTAAAGGATAACGGCAGCACCTGGCTGGGTTAGCTAGTATTCTATCAAAGGTTATATAAAGGTGTTAGTTAGTATTTTAACAAAGTGCAGTTATGAATACGCTCCACTGCGCTATAAAGCTGATGCCTATAGTACAGGTCGTTAAAATACTCATAACGATAAAGTAATTTAAAGGATAACAGCAGCACCTGGCTGGGTTAGCTAGTATTCTATCAAAGATTATATAAAGGTGTCAGTTAGTATTTTAACAAAATGCAGTTATGAATACGTACCACTGCGCTATAAAGCTGGTGCCTATAGTACAGGTCGTTAAAATACTCATAACGATAAAGTAATTTAAAGGATAACGGCAGCACCTGGCTGGGTTAGCTAGTATTCTATCAAAGGTTATATAAAGGTGTCAGTTAGTATTTTAACAAAGTGCAGTTATGAATACATACCACTGCGTTATAAAGCTGGTTCCTATAGTGTAGATCGGCGTAGACTTGTTGACGTCGAGGCTGGCTTCCGTCGCGTTCATGTTGGATGGCATCGAAGGCTGTGCGGTTATTGTCTCCGTAGCGATAACATCGCACTCAAGTCGCGGGCTATCGTCTGGAACAAGGTGGATTGTTATAAATATAACCAACAATATTTATTTTATTTTTATTACTGGACGACCTCCGTGGCCGAGTGGTTTGTTCGGTTTCAAGGTGTCGATGTCGCTTACTCGAGAGGTCCCGGTTCGAAAATCCGGTGGCGGCAGTTGTTTGTGTGATGAATGCGAACAATAGGGGTGATGAGGGGGTTACAGTAAACGAAATTCTATTTAGTCCGTCAGTTAGATGATCAAAAAATAATGGACGCGTATTTTTTCTTTGGGCAATCAACCGAAAAATGACAAAGTTATAGCACGTCAAAGTTTGGGAGTAGGGGCTCGTGACGTCACTTTTTAGTGAATTTTCTCTTAAAAGTAGACTCAAACGTGACGTCATGCGACTTTTCAAATCAATATATCTCTGCAATGTTTATATTATGTGAAAAAAGAAAAAATACGTGTCCAATACTTTTTAATAATCTACCCGATACACGAAGAAAAAAAATTAGTCATCATCCCTACTGCACACACGTCAGGGATGTTTCATACATATTTCAATATAAATATACTTATACATGTCTCAGACTATTATTATGTATTCTATCCGTTACCCTCGTATTCCATAACTTAAGCCTGCAGTGCTACTTTAGGGCTAGGCTAATTGGTGTGTGTTGGAAATATTTGTTTATTTTGAGCTGGTACATTTATGAATCTAAAGATCTTCTAAATAGAAAAATCCACTCCCCAGTCCACAGACAGGACTCTAATCTGCGCCTTCCACAATGCGGCCCAAGTGCACCTTACAGCTTGAGAAATATTGGACTGCATCATCCCCCTTCTTATGGGATGATCGCATCAGATGACGCCTGTACGGCCTTTATGGCAATAGGCGTCCCCAACCCGATCCGTAAGGTTTGTTTCAGTCAGTAAGAGCCTGATATAACCCTGCAGCCATCTGTAGGGTACCCATATGAATTTCATACCCACTTCGCTGCCTCGGAGGAAACAAAAAAAAATATTGGAAAAAAAATGATACGGCGGTTAAGGTCTCGGTCTGCAGCATAGTTTGTTGCTGCATTCGCCTGGATTGCAAAAGGCGTAGGTTCGAGTTCTCCAACAAGTATCTGTATAAAGTATGAACTTTTCTGGAAGTCATCATCTTCATCATCAGCCCATTAATGTCCCCACTGCTGGGGCACAGGCCTTCCCTATGGATGGAATAGGGAGACATTACCCACCACGCGGACCCAGTGACTGCAGATGCAGCCAACCAACGGCTTAACGTGCCTTCCGAAGCATGTGGGAACTCGAGATAGAAGACTTTTGGTCACCCATCCAATTGATCGACCATTGCGAAAGTTGCTTAACTTCAACAATCGCAGCCGAACGCGCTAACCATTCGCATCATCGAGCTCCTCTATTTCAAATTTAAATTAAGTTGGTGCAACTGATGCTAGGTTTCACATGTGGTGCATGAAAGCCTCTGCTCTATTGAGATCGTCGTTTTGTTATTATATAACGGAAAATCTTCTAACAGTTCACCAATTCATTGACACAATCGTTTTCTGTAAGAAGGTGCATACCACCCCCAGCAGAATCTCTCATTCAATCTAAAAATCTTTCTTACTCCGTATCTAGATAAGAATTCTCATAAAAAGTAAATCGGAATGACTTCCATTCCGATTTCCGCAAAAAGAAAATCTCATTCCTAATAAACGTTTCTCATTTTGCGACGCTTAAAATGCCGGACCTGATAAATACTAATGCAAATATTGAATTCTCGACTCCTGCATATACGGCGAATTGGGTTCGTTGGGTTAACGAATTTTATCATTCAGTATTCAGTGAATGGTGTCAAGTATCTGAACCAAAGCGCCACCGGTCTTATTGCAAAATTGCATATAGTCGAAAACTGCGTTCTTTACAAATAATAAGTGGTAGAAATGATTTTCTATCATGTCATATCATTTTCTGTAATCACATTTAAGCTGATTGTGATTGGAGTCTAGTAGCCGAGATGCTTTTAAAAACATCCGTGCATCTGCATAGGTAACATTACGCATGTAGTTTCCAAATATCTGAAGACCAATTTTTAAATATAAAGTAACATGGTTTCTGTTTAAAATCACCTTTATTTAAGCAGGTAATGGTGGTGTCACGACGCTGCTACTGTATTGTTGCAAGATTTGACTTTCCTGGAATGCGCCGTTACATAACAGAGTACTCGTATGTGAAATCATGCATAGAATGCCAACGATATAAATCCAGTAATATTAAACCAGCACAGATGTTTTTAATAACATCCGTGCTTCTGCATAGATGACATTTCACGTGTAGTTTCAAAATATCTGAAAACCAATGTGGCGGCGACATCTACATGCCTCACATATAATCAACTTGGAGGGCCGCGGCCCCCGTGCTACCATCATCCAGTTCGGAGGAAGATCTTCCTCTTTGGCCTTCCAACACTGGTGACCCTCGACTGAGCACAGCAAGAAGCAACCTTCAATCATCGCAGCGCCAAACATCATTCTTCATACCCTTCCTCATTAGGTCAAGCAACATCAGCAGTCACATAACAAGCCAGCATCAGTCTCAAGGTTCAATCGCAACTTCCTGGACCTTCGGCAGCACTCGACGGCATCATCCCGACCTGGTCTTCGCAGCTCACGACCGGTACCTCACTTGTCGGCCGCAAGCACACCGGCGTGGCGGCCCTGCACACCAGCAGCTCGGACCCACCGTTACACTCCACCTGTCTCGACTCACCATAGACTGGAGCAACTCTGCAGTACTGGCGATGCGCCTTCACCTCACCCGTCTCAACTCACCGTAGACTGTGGCATCCTGCAGCACCCTGGCACTTGCAAGCTCTGACGCACTGACTGCTTAAAACGTCTGTGTTTCCAACACCAATTTTAAATAGAAAGTAACATGGTTTCTGTTAAAAAAACACCTCTATTTCCGGATAAATGTGTTGTGTGCACCACAAGCCCTAAATCTGGACAGGGATACGAGATTGCTACTCGACCGTCTCTCAAGAACATTACCTCAATCACTGTCGTGCTATTTAGGTTTAAGGTAGGGCGAGAGATCTAGCGGTGAAACGTAACATCTAAATATTAACCTTAGATTAAATGATTTAATCTAAGATATTAACGCAAATTTCATAATTTGTGTGTTGGGCCCAATAAGATGCTCACAAAATAATATAAGTTCATTGTAAGTAGTATCTTACAAAATATGATAATTATTTACATTACCAATAGCAAACGGTCAAGTACATCGACCAAATTCTTATAATCTATGTGCATTTTTTTGCACATCGATGTAAATATTAGTATGTAATTTTATAGTAGTTAGTAGTAGTTAGAGGAGCTCGATGACGCGGGTGATTAGCGCGTTCGGCTGCGATCATTGAAGTTAAGCAACTTTTGCAGTGGTCGGTTATTTGGCGGGTGACCAAAAATCTTCTATCACGAGTTCCTCCGTGCTTCGGAAGGCAATTAAGCCGTTGGTCCCGGCTACATCTACAGTCTTTAGTACCCGCCAATCCGCACTGGGCCCGCGTGGTGGCTCATCTCCCTATTCCATCCATAGGGAAGGCCTGTGCCCCAGCAGTGCGGACATTAATAGGCTGATGATGATGATGAATTTTATAGTAAAGGTAGGTAACAACTGTTTTAATTTAGCTACTTCATTGTGGAAAAGGAAGTGAGCTGAAAATACTTTTTGGATTACAAAAATAAAATATATAGGCAATGAGTTATGCTAACAATTTTAATGCTAATTGCATAGTATATTGTAATTATTATATCAGACTGTAATTAATAGGAATTCACAATTGTACAGAGCGAGGCTTTTGGCTTTATCACTCTGTAATGCATTTGAAACGATTGAATGCACTATTTTGTTTGTCAATTTTACTGTCCTTATCAATGTCCTTCTCTTTAGGGACAACTTCTTCAGCTCGTTGCATGAGTGCTACCTACAATATGTAGGTATTATTCAAATATCTATACTGATCTTAATACCAGAACAATGTATATACATTGTTTCATATGAATAAGGTTCACGAAGTGCCCCGCTTTCATTAGGACCCCACCTTGCCAATATACATGTATGCTCACCACTGCTCGACAGATAAGGCTGCAGATAGACAGCCGGCGCGCGCCGTCCGGTGCCGGCCGCCGGGAGCCTCCGTGTCGTCCATGCGATCTCACCCTTATCCCACCTGCAAAGGAAGACCATTTTGATTGACATGATTGGAAACTGTGTCACCCTAATTTAAGCATAATGATTTAGATTCGAGCCAAAGACGATTGCAAGGTATTAAGAGACTCACTTCTGCCTTTTTTAAACAAAAATGGTTTATACAGGATGTAAAAAAAACCTTTAATGAAGTCGAAGGCCACGTATTTTCCACATCATGATGTTCTTCTGGACCATATCTGGGAAATTTATGGTTATGGAGATATTGAAGGTCAAAGTCAAATATTTATTTTTTGATTTATGCATTAATATTTTCAAAACGTTATTTAGAAACTATTTTATCGACGCACTTACACTCACTCACACACATACACACAGGCACATTCTTTGCGTAGCGTCTAAGCAGCGCGCCGGGCTAAACATTGCGTACTAGGTTTTTTGTTAACATAAAATTTCAATTTTTTCCCCGTATAATTATTTGTAATATGTAATATTACTTGTTCGGATGTACAGAATACGTAGTTTTAGTCTTTGTCATAGGTTGTTTTACAGCCTGTATTATTGAATCCAGTATCTAGGCCAGGCAATATCATACCCGCATTGCATACCCTAACTAATAATAAATTATCCTGCAAAACTTATAATCAACTGAAACTTTTTCTATGGGTTTGTAACCATTTGGTTTAACAAATTTCTCCATCACATTTGTTATTAAGTGTACTTGAGTAAAGTCAATGATTCAAAGATATTTGATGCTACAGACAGCTTAATAGAATGCCATATGTTTAAAGCGAGCGTGTTATAACACGCTCGCTTTAAACATCTTTGTTTAAGTCGCGGCACGAAACTCTAGCGCCTAGACCGTTATTGCGCAGAAGTGAATATTAAGAAGTCTTGGGGGGAAACGAGGTGCGCGGGCGGGCGTGCATTGCGCCGATTGGCTCTCCAGTCGTACCTATGCGTAGCTATCCCCTCCGCATTTTGTTTAGCACTAGAGTTATGTGCCGCAACCTGTATGTTACAGTTTCACGCGGAAGCAACTGAATCGATTGTACTTCGGTTGAATTTTGGTGTAGAGATAAAAAGGACCCTGTCCGGTAAGATGATTATTTTTGGTAGTGAGAATAAAACTTTAGGGCGGGTTTTAATGTTACTAAACTAAGTCCAAGGTGGACCAACATACAACGCAACTTGTAACAATCTTGCTTAAAAGGAAACTGATGCCCGATTAGTTTTTTCTTTCGCTCTTATAAAAGACAGCTGGTGCCTAGCTCTTATTTTATCACTCCATCTATGATTATCATTAATCTGAGGTAGGAAAAAAATCCTACTAATAGCATAAATGTAAAAGTTTGTAAGTTTGTCACTCACTACCGCAAAACCGGCAGAACGCGTCTGGATGAAATTCGGCACACATGTAGTTTATTACTCGGATTCAGGAATCGGATATTTTTTATCCCGAAAAAATGTATGGTTCCTGAGGGATTCTCAAAAAACTAAAGTTTCGCGGACGAAGTCACGGGTGACCGATAGGATAAGATACAGGTCATAATACCATAGTACATAATAGTGTTTTGACTGCAGAAGAATTCATTTAAACTGCAAGACAGCACCATTGTAGGTAACCCACAATGTCAAATTAACCTTTACAAGTATAAAACATTTGAAAGAAGAAATAGCAATTATAGTTATACAATTCAAGACATCTATCCCCCCCCCTAGCGTTATAAGTTTCAACGGTCTGTAGCAGAAACATAATTAAGTAAGGTTGGTAATAATTATATATTTGAAATAAAATACGAGTGTGCTTATGACCACACAACTGAAGTGAAACTTCTTTAGCTCCATCTGTATGTACATATTTATATATACATACATATATATATATATACATATATATATATATATATATAACTATAAAATATATATAACCAGCTTTATAGCTAGTAAATGAAATATGTATATTGCGCACTGCTACCTCTTGCTTATATCCCCCACTCAACTCCCGTTCGCCTCGCCTAAATACACTTTTCGTAACGAGTAACCCATTCGCCAGCTTACCCCCCAAGTCAAGCGTGCGTAAAGAAGTTTCGAACTTCAAAAACACAAGTTACAGATGGTTAATAAATCAGCTGCAATACTGCGTAAAGACTTTCTTATCAATGTAACATTTTTTTAGGACCGCCAAAGACACAGAATACGGAAAGAGATTTCTATGATATGTGGTCAAAACCATATCTATATAGGTATATAAAACTCAAAGGTGACTGACTGACATAGTGATCTATCAACGCACAGCCCAAACCACTGGATGGATCGGGCTGAAATTTGGCATGCAGGTAGATGTTATGACGTAGGCATTCGCTAAGATAAGATTTTGATCAATTCTACCCCCAAGGGGATAAAATAGGGAATGAGAGTTTGTATGAGACTTTGTCAATTTTAAACCGATCGGGCTGAGACTTTGCATGCAGGTATAAGAAGAATCATAGATGAATGTCATTGTGTATAATACATGCCTGAGAACAAAAACTGTAGTCTATACTTCAGCTATACACCGAAGCGAAGCGAGGGCGGGCCGTTAGTAGATGGGCCGATAGATGAGTCTGGGAGTATATTCTTAATTATTTAAGCATGTAACTGCTAGATGTTTAGAGGTAAATCTACGGGGTTCGATTCTCGTACGCTGCCTGGTAAGCGTGGATTTTTGACGTGACAACGTCTTAAATTAGGTTGCGGCTGGGAGTCACTTATGAAAAAGTGTAACGCTCGGTAACGTTACGATGAGTCTCTCGTGTTAAGTTTAAGTTTACATGTACAATGTTTTAGTAAACAAAATATATTTCTATAGTTAAAATTTGTGCAATTCTTATTTTCATTCAATTCCTTGTTCCTATTGTGCAATTTAATTATATTCATATCAATAAATATTCTACCGAGAAAAAGACGTTGTCACGTAAAATCTTCGCCCGTAAAACCGACTTTACAGGCAACCATTTTTTTTCTACTAAAATTATATTTAGATTTAAACACCTAGTCAGTTACATGCCTAAAAAAATCTAATTATAACATTTAAACATGTATAAACTTTAACTTTGTTGATTCAGTTTGTTCTGACTAATAATATTTATGTTTATCGTAGCTAATTTGGATATTTGAGATGTCTCGGATAAAGTTATGCAAATATTCCATCCATCATTGACCCGTCGACAGTTTAATTTTTGTCTTTTTATCTTTCACCAGTTTATGACAGTGACTTTATATCTGGGTATAATCTTCATCCTTTATAAACATTGTGTACGAGACGACCGATTTGTCCAGGCCGGAACAGGATCGAACATGCCATACAGCCACAGCTACCTAAAGGAACAGGAAGAAACAAGCGGTTCACTCTGGACCTGAAGACTCCTCGACAGGCCATCCATTACCAGCGCCCACCGATTCTCTTTGATACAGAACACTGGGAATTTTATTTCTTCGCAAGCTACAGTCCACATATCGCCGTCAAGATTCCTGCGTGTACCATCCTCCACCCCCAAGTGGAAGTCGGTAACTTCCAGCTACTGCTGCAGCCCGGCGTGCCGCACACATTGCATTCCATTATACATGAAATTGATTGATTGATCTCATGTTTTTCTTAGATTAACATTTCCAAACTGAAAAATTCACCCCACGTGATGTTAAGTACATGTGGTATGTGTGGGTGTGTGGTAGGTGGATGGCGCAAGTGGTTAGCGCGTTCGGCTGCGGTCGTTGAAGTTAAGCAACTTTCGCAGTGGTCGGTCATTGGATGGGTGACCAAAAATTTACTATCTCGAGCTCCTCCGTGCTTCGGAAGGCCCGTTAAGCCGTTGGTCCCGGCTGCATCTGCAGACGTTAGCACCCACCAATCCGCACTGGGCCCGGGTGGTGGGTTCGGGCCCAATTTCAGAAGGCCTCTCGAAGGCCTGTGCCCCAGCAGTGGGAACATTAATAGGCTGATGATGATGATGATGACTTTATTTATTCTCCCAATTTTTTATCCCAAGCGGGTGTTATAATACAAATAATCTGTCGTGTTTGCTCTCTACTCCCATACATTATGAACAAGAGGAATAGGAATATAATATTAATGAAATGTTACAGCCGTCATACATAATGGAGAGTATCATTATTTTGGTTCATGTAATGATTTCAAGCTCATTGTGCGATATTAAGCGCGTGTATGAAAATCCGTATGGTTCAGTGGTTCACAACCATTGGTTCGGAAACGTACTGCTCTGAGGAGACGTAGTAATAATAATATATTTTAAGGCTTGGGCCACACCAGCAGCGAAACGATATTTGGTTCAAGGGTCTGTGGTTTAGCTGCAGAGTTTATTTCTCATAAAAACCTACAGTTTAAATCTAAAGTTATACTAGAAAAAATCCACGCGGAATAGGCAGCGGACGGGACTCGAACCCGCACCCTTCGTAATCCGAGCGAATGCACTGACCAATTATGCTAACACGGCCCTGATGGCCGCGTCAAAATTTTCCTAGTCTTAAGCTGCAAGGCAGAGCCATCCATTCGCACTGTGGGCAACCCACAATGTCAAATGAATAATTTTTCAAGTATTAAACATTTGAAAGAAGAAACAGCAATTATAGTTATGTTCTTTTTTTTATTTATTTATTTTTTTATTTAAGGATTCGAGTCCTGTCCGCTGCCTGGTCCGCGTGGATTTTTTCTAGTAAAACTTTTCTTTAGATTTAAACACCTAGCAGTCAAATGCTAGATTATTAAACCGATACTGTATGTTATGTTATTATATATATATATATATATATATATATATATATATATATATATATATATATATATATTTAAGGATTTTATATATAACATACAGTTTACTTATAATAATATTTTAAATTTTCACATTCTAATAATTGTGACCGCTTCTGCAGTATCGGTTTAGTATATAAGTTCCAAAGACTCGCACTAAGCGATTCGCGTCTAGCTTCATCGTGCGGACTGCCAAACTGTGGAATTCCTTGCCTGAGCCCTTGTTCCCCGA